CTGGACGCCTTCCTGGGGAGGTGTCCCGGGCACGTCCCACCGGGAGGAGGCCCCGCGGAAGACCCAGGACACGCTGGAGGGACTATGTCTCTCAGCTGGCCTGGGAACGCCTTGGGGTCCCCCCGGACGAGGTGGAGGAAGTGTGTGTGGATAGGGAAGTCTGGGCGTCTCTGCTTAGACTGCTGCCCCCGCGACCTGGGAACGGATAAAGCGGAAGAAAATGGATGGATGGATATTATTCTATTTCTGGGTCGGGGGAAGCACCAGTCCCTCTGACCCTCCTGCAGATGGTGGGTTCACGGGAAGATGGCTTCTCTGTCATGGACTCGATTGCCTTGGTCTTTCAGCGGGGGCTTCAGGCAAAGTGGGGTTAAAGCTGCACTAACTGACTTTGGGATTTTGAAGCCGTGGACTCGCTGGCCTCTCTCTTTCTGCTCCCCTCCCCGCACCCACGAAGCTATTGCCCCCCTCACACACCCACTGTTGGGACGGAGCTAGCGTCTCCCAACATGGATAATACATGGATATGGATTTGCACGTGGATGGCGTGACCATAGAACGATAGAACCAGGAAGCGCGGAGGAACGAGACTTTCTTTTGGATGGCTGTTTCGCTGTGTAAGCAGTAACCGGTGACGAAGACGAAAAAGTTTCAGGTTAGCTCCGCCGCTTGTTGTGCTAACTCAGCCGTCTGTGCTAACGGACCTGTAGATTTCTCACGAAAGTGGGGGCCAGTGGTGCGCTGTGATTGGTCACAATCAGAGACCCGAAACACATTCTCTTCCTTGTTTCATCAAAACTCGATCTAAAATATAATTTAACAATTACAAATCTGCGCTACTTATTCTTCAAAAGGGCGTTTATCCCAATGCACTGCATGGACATGGATAGCACTTTTGTAATGAATACAAAAATAAAGTCAGTCAGTGCAGCTTTAAGTCTCTTGCTCAGGGACACAACGACAGCAGACATTAGTGACATGGGTCATGGTGGACTCGAACCCACGACCATCCAAACCCCCAAAGACCAGCGCTTTACCAACTGAGCTACTTATAATGCTTATTATTGGCAAAATTTATCTTAATTACAGCACGTTCTGACTGAATCATAAAACAGGATTTTCCGATGGAACTAAGCAAAAAAGATAAGATACATAAATGTCTCTTTTGTCCGTCCGTCCGTTTTCCTCCGCTTCATCCGTTGCCGGGTCGCGGGGGCAGCAGTCTAAGCAGAGACGCCCAGACTTCCCTATCCACACACACTTCCTCCAGCTCGTCCGGGGGGACCCCAAGGCGTTCCCAGGCCAGAGAGACATAGTCCCTCCAGCGTGTCCTGGGTCTTCCCCGGGGCCTCCTCCCGGTGGGACGTGCCCGGAACACCTCCCCAGGGAGGCGTCCAATGTCTCTTTTGAAATGAGAAAATAAACAGTTTTTGAAATAAAGGTTTGTCCCATCGTAATTTTTGTACAGAATTTCAAAATGAGCTCAAATTAAGATTAAATCCGCTCCATTCAATCAATTATTACCTCATATTTTATCGTTTTTTACAGTGTGCTAGTATTGCCTGTGTCTTTTAAAAACACACTTTCACGTCACGTTAGATACAGACTCAGAGGAACTTAGATGTTTTAGAGAAGAATCCAAAATGTTCAGTGTTAATTCTGTCTATTTAAAAGTGCACAATGATTTTTACCTTTGGATCAGTCTCCTGCATGTCTCATTTGTTTTAAGTTTATTTTTTTGTATTTTTTTTTCCTGGATGTTTCATGGTATTTTTCTGATTACTCTAAAAAACAGATAAAACTGAGAAAATTAGCATCGCATTCAAAAGTCTATTTACTAAAACTAATATATGACAGACTCAGCACATACAGAGTGGGCTACAGCAAACCTCTCTGTGTTAAACTGTAAAAAAAATAATAATAATACACCCCAGAAAGTTTGTATAATTATAAAAATTGACTTTGAGCCTTAACCATCACCCGTTTTTCCATGTCTTTGTTGGATCCACCATTTTTCACCAGATTTTTTCTACACACCCTCAAACCATACAGACATTTAAACCAGGAAAAACAGATATATGTCAAATTTTTGCACTTCTAAGTCATTTCTAAGTGAAGCTAGCATTCATATGTGATCTATCTGCTCACCAGTACTAGAATTTAACCAGTACTTTGCATAATCACAGGCCCAAACCACGTCTTTCCATTCTTACCCCCGGCACAATTCACTCTGGCTGCATTTTAAACAGGGCCCAGAGAATAGCCGCAGATTGATAAATGCTGCTATTGTCGTGGTGGAGTTATGTAAGGAGAGGAAATTGCACTTGAGTGTCCTTTAGGGAGCCGTGCAGGTGGTAAACTCTGAATAGATGATAAAGCAGACGCTCATGTTGTTAACAGCCAGCGCTTACTATCTCTCCCCCCCCCCCCGTCCGTGTGCTCGCTCGCCCAGACAAATGCCTCTCTCAGATACACTCAGCCTCACTCGCCGGGGCCACTTCTTTTCACTCTCTCTCTCTCTCTCCGCTCACAAAAGACCGGGCGAAACGCGAGATCCCTTTTAATTGAAACGTGTTCGGAGCAATTTGTTTGGTCCCAGAGATGAGCCGCTGACAGAGAGAGAGCTGACGATTCACCGTTTTTTTGTTCAAGTCAAGTGGAAGAAGGTCAGAAGGTCTCGGACTCTGAAACTAGGGATGGGGAGCTAGTGTTATTTATCCCGCTGCAAGTGGAGGGTGTCTAGAAAAACTTCAGGATGCTGTTTGGTAAGAGCGTTTAATTTCTATGATAATTTATGAATGAATCGAAAATATACTTATATAACTTAATGCTGTTATATTGTAAAACCAAAATTGTTAAAAAATGTTTTCCCGACCATTAGCCTTGAACTCTCCGTAGCTTCGTATGTTATATTGCTTATTTTTTCCTGTGTTTTTACGTATATATTTTTATTTTTATTTTAGTGCTGCTCAAACGAATTGCCCCCGATTCAATAAACAAAGTAGTCTGAATCTGAATCTGTAAAAACCTGTAGTTGTGCTCGCTTCTGTCATGATGCTAGTGCTAATGCTAATGGGAATGATTCACTGACACATTCTCTCACACGTGTTTTTCGATCAGCAGCGTGTGAGTGACTGAGGCCAGTTTGAGGATATCTGACAGTGACTAAACCGGTTAATGTTTGTGTGTGTTTAAAAAAAAAACGTGAGATTGGACCCTGAAAAATCCACACTAAAGAGTGAAGGTCAGAGGAGGCACTCGGCATCAAACTACAACAGAAAATTATGATTAGTGACGATTAGCTGATGATATGGAACTTAATGAATGGATGGAAGTGTTGGAAGTTTGTGGTTTTAAACAGGCAGGTGGAAAATGGCTGTAGCTCTGATGTTTACTGTAAAAAAAAGTATTTATTTAATTAATTATTTGTCTGTTTTGTGTCTTTGAGCGTCCAAACGAGCTCTACATAAGTATAATGTGTTATTATGTATTATTTATCATTCATTCATTTTAATCCCATTTGTTATTCCATTTCTGGGTCGGGGAGTTGGGAGTCAGAGCTGCCACTGACCAATCCTGGGTCCTGGCTTTCAGTGGGGGCTTCAGGCAAAGTGGGGTTAAGTTTCTTGACCAAGGACACAACAACAGCAGGAGCAGTTATTATTATTAAAATTGCTATTATTATTATTACTATTATTATTATTATTATTACTATTATTATTAGTAAGTAAGTAATCTTTATTAATATACCGCCTTTCACAGACCAGAGTCACAAAGCGGTTTACAATTGTTATTTTTGGGCATTAGTCTCTCACTTCACACAGAGATGGGAGCGGGGTCGCCGAACAGGATGTTTTTAGTGGTAGGGGAAACCGGAGTACCCGGAGGAAACCTACGCAGACACGGGGAGAACATGCAAACTCCACTCAGAAAGGCCCTGGTCCGGCCGGGATTCGAACCCAGGACCTTCTTGCTGAGAGGCGAGAGTGCTATCCACTCAGCCACCGTGCCACCCAACAGTATTGTTATTGTTATTGTTATTGTTATTACTATTATTATTATTATTATTATTACTATTATTATTATTATTATTACTATTATTATTATTATTATTACTATTATTACTATTATTATTATTATTATTATTACTATTATTATTATTATTACTATTATTATTATGATTACTATTATTATTATTATTACTTAGTAATTATTATTATTATTACTATTATTATTACTATTATTATTATTATTATTATTACTATTATTATTACTATTATTATTATTATTATTATTATTAAACTAACAAGCATGGAGTGGATGGGAAACCATGAGGCTTCTTAAACTTTCTTCTTTCATAACTGCAAAAACATCTTACTTTTGGTCCAGTTTTGTTTAATAAAAATATACTCAAGTTAAATAAAAATAACTGGCTTAATAATAATAATAATAATATATGAAATAATATGAAAAAGTTGCTCCTTATTTGGACACCTTGGGGGTACTGTGCCCTGTCCCTGTGAGCTCCGGGGAACATGGGGCGAAAAGGTTGGGAACCACTGATGTCATGGATTCTTTTATCTGTGGAGACAATATACGAGTTATTTATCTGAACAAACGTGTGAAGTATCAACAACATCAACCTCGGACTGAAACCTCGCACTGCTATCGTCACTTGTAATTTTAATTGTATATAAAATACCTTGTACAACATATTTTTATATATATTTATTTTTGCACATCCTGACTGATCCTATTTTATGCCAAACGTAACTTATTTTACTAAAACTTGCAGTGACTTTATTCTTTTCAAACTTTATAGTATTAAAAAAGCAATAATACATTTTATTAATTTAGTGCTTTTCTAAATACTAACTTCTTTGGTTTCTTTGAACAAACCTTTAGATCGTTTCTCAAGGTCAGCGTTGACCATCTGCTCCTCTCTCCTTGAATTTAAATTAGTTTGTTTGACGTGGAGTTCTTTAGACGCCTCTGCCCAGAGCGGCGTGGGCGGAGACTGTGGCCCCTCCCCCTGTGGCCAAAGACTGTGGCCCCTCCCCCTGTGGCCAAAGACTGTGGCCCCTCCCACTGTGGGCGGAGACTGTGGACCCTTCCACTGTGGGCAGAGACTGTGGCCCCTCCCCCTGTGGGCAGAGACTGTGGCCCCTCCCCCTGTGGGCGGAGACTGTGGACCCTTCCACTGTGGGCAGAGGCGGAGACTGTGGCCCCTCCCCCTGTGGGCAGAGGCTGTGGACCCTTCCACTGTGGGCAGAGGCGGAGACTGTGGCCCCTCCCCCTGTGGGCAGAGGCGGAGACTGTGGCCCCTCCCCCTGTGGGCAGAGACTGTGGACCCTTCCACTGTGGGCAGAGGCGGAGACTGTGGCCCCTCCCCCTGAGGGTAGAGACTGTGGCCCCTCCCCCTATGGCCAAAGACTGTGGCTCCTCCCCCTGAGGGTAGAGACTGTGGCCCCTCCCACCGTGGGTGGCGACTGTGGCCCCTCCCACTGTGTGCAGAAGCGGTAACTGTGGCCCCTCCCACTGTGTGCAGAAGCGGTAACTGTGGCCCCTCCCACTGCAGGTGGAGACTGTGGCCCCTCCCACCTGAAACAGAGACCTGACAGTTCTGCCTCTCGTGAGAAATGAGCTCAGTTTAGACATAATTTGAGCCTGTTAAAGAAAAAGGCAGTTTGGGGATTTAGAGACGTTTAGATTATTACATTCTGAGACAGGTTTGAACATTTCTGTAGAAAAATAAATAAATACTTTATTGATCCAGTAGCAGAAGAATCAGCGTGTGTTGCTATGGTAACTAGCACTAGCAAATTAGCTAAAGATAGAACTACTCACTTTTCTAAAGTAAAATATGTTTTCATAAAATAAATAATGACATCTTGGTGGGAAGTGGGAAACATGTATTTGACCTTGAAGTATCATTTTAATTATTACATAGTTTTTCATAAATAGTGAGTTAAAAAAAGTGCCTCTTCTTTGGCATAAGCAGCACCAGATTTACTGGAGGAGAATAGTTCGACCAATGGTGAGGGGCCTCAGGATTTGAATCAATTTCGTCCAATCAGGAAGCTGCGGGGGCGGGTCTGACTTACACTTTGTAAAATACATAGGTCTCTCTCTTTGACCTTCAACTGTTTAAGAAGCATGTTTTAAGCTCATGGATCGTCTCTGAGCTGAAAATCGTTACCAAAAAATATAAAGTAATAAAAATAAAAATAGACTTTATGATTGTTGTCCACGACTCGGCAGTGGCTTGTTCAAAGAATCGTGAGTTTGTCTTCAGTTTGTTTACATCGACTACATTTGCACATAAAAAGACCAGTGCAGTGAAAGTCGTTTCAGCAGAAATTGAGTCGTGTAGACTCCGGGTGACTGTGGCAGATTAGTGAGATCAAAGGCAGCGGCTGCAGAGGAGATAACTGCATGGAGACCTGCCTGGTGGCCACGGACCCCCCCTGGACCCCCCCGAGCCCCCCGTCAGGAGCCACATCTCTGTCACAGCTTTGAGAAGACGCCTTTTGTGGCACTTTGGTAACTAAGAAGGATCAAGGCTTACGGAGGACTGCAGACGACCAAAAGAGTGGATTTTAAACAGGGCCGGATCTAGTTTTCAGGGGGCCCTAACATTTTTACCAAGTCTGCACCAAACACGTTAAATAATTAGACAACAAACAAATTAGAATCTCTTTAGGATTGATTTTCTTTTGTAAGATAGAGTTTTTTTCTTCCATGGGAATGATGAAAACTAATGAAGCAGGTTTTAGTTTTTATGTTTTCCAGTTTAAATGCAATGTACCGTTTTGGATCATTGCATAAGCTTCTCCTTTTACATGTAAATTATCTGACTTTATTTCATTGAATGCTTTTAAATCCAGATTGAGAGTCACTTGAGACGTCCTCATAACTGTTTTTATCATCTGTAATTGTCTGTAACTGTAACTTTTGTCCAGGACTCCCTTAAAAAAAGAGGTTCTTAATGTCAATAAGACTTTCCTGGTTAAATGAGGTTCATTTGTGGGGGGCCTCTGAAGTGTGTCTATAATTCCGACGGAGGACATGTTTTATTGTCGATGGTAGACGAGCGGAGGAATGGAGACCGTCCAATCAGCATTCGCCGCGGTGTCAGTAGCTTTGGCCTTCAGAAAACCGAGTAGACACCAATAGTCGAAAAAGTGCTGGCTCGTGCATATTGTTAAAATTATGAGTTTAACTTTAACCACAGTTGTTTTTAAATCTCCAAACCTCTTCTGACTTAAATTATGTATTTTTCATAAAACAATATATTAAAAACAGTGCCTTCCCTTGACACAAGCTGCACCAGTAAGATTTGCTGGAGGAGAATAGTTCGACCAATAGGGAGGGGCCTCAGCAGTCGAACAAGGATTTGAATGAATTACGTCCAATCAGGAAGCTGCGGGGGCGGGTCTGACTGAAGCTTTGAAAAATATATAGATCTCTGTCTTTGATTTTGACCCGCAACAGTAAAAGGAGCAAGTCAGGCCTCTCACAAAAGTGGATTAGGGCGGCTATGATCGTGAAAATGTCAAGTTTACTCCCGACCCAAAAGCAAAACATATTCAGCATCTGTGATTCATAAACTGCTCTCATCGACCACAACATACATGGAGTAATATTACTAATAAAATCAAACACATGTGGTGAGAGTCGTCCTGAGAAATGAGAGTAATCTGCTGCGTAGTTACTCACACACACAGCTACTCTTTTTTTACCGTGGTCCAATTCAAAGCTTTGTCAACTCATTTGGTTCTGAACATACTGTATGTTAAAGATTAAAGATTAGACTGGTAGTTAATTGACTTTGTGGGTCCAAACTCCATCTTCTTTGAGTCTAAACTGGTCCCAAAAAGGCTGAAAAGTGGCACATGTTTGTGGAGTGTGAATGAACCTCTCAGGCCCTGTTTATACTGAGACGCTGCGCAGACGTTTCCAGGCTATTAACAGAAACGACCTGGCTCCTAATGCAAATTTCTCAGCGTTCACATGAGGTTGAAAAACGATGTAGTTCTAGCGCCCGGCCAGTAGGGGGCAGAGGAACTTTACAACACGACACACGACCCCCAGCCCCGTGCCCAGCCCCCCCCTCCCGGCAGTATATTCACTTCCTGTGCCAGACCCTCAGAAAGTACCAACATCATTCTGCATTTTAACAGCAGCTGTGAACATGGGAACTGAACCTAGAGCTTTGCGTGGTCTCATTTGGACGAACGAAGGAGTAGAATTATCCTCTGTGCTGTGCTCGAAGCCCACAAAGCTAGTTAGTGCGCGCGGCGCCATCTTTGTTGATGTTTGTTCTCCGCTACTGCGCATGTCCAAATGTACGTGCGGGAGCAGCAGGAGGTGGGGGTCAGAGCAGCAGGAGGTGGGGGTCAGAGCAGCAGGAGGTGGGGGTCAGAGCAGCAGGAGGTGGGGGTCAGAGCAGCAGGAGGTGGGGGTCAGAGCAGAGGGGGATTTCACACCTTTCCCCTCTCGCGGGTGTGAAAGAGCCCCCGCTGTGCAGCGTTTCTGAGCTGTCCCACTCTGAGGCTGGATCTGAACACTTACGTTTTCACCTGGAACACAGTCTTCATATGAACGGTTGGTAGAAACCGACATCCAACTATACTGTTTTACTGCCACATTGTCTCTGTGTAAACTCAGCCTCAGTGATCAGGACACAGCCACTGGTTTTGGTAATTACGTGTCAAACGGCGCAGAACACATTCGCAGCACAATTAGAACTCAGATAAAAGGCTAATGGGGTTAAGAAGTGAGTCCAGCTCGAGTCACTTCACTCTAGAGAACAGTCACTCTGGAGAACAAGTCACTCTGGAGAACAAGTTACTCTGGAGAACAAGTTACTCTGGAGAACAAGTTACTCTGGAGAACAAGTTATTCTGGAGAACAAGTTACTCTGGAGAACAAGTTACTCTGGAGAACAAGTTACTCTGGAGAACAAGTTACTCTGGAGAACAAGTCACTCTGGAGAACAAGTCACTCTGGAGAACAAGTTACTCTGGAGAACAAGTTACTCTGGAGAACAAGTCACTCTGGAGAACAAGTTACTCTGGAGAACAAGTTACTCTGGAGAACAAGTCACTCTGGAGAACAAGTTACTCTGGAGAACAAGTTACTCTGGAGAACAAGTTACTCTGGAGAACAAGTCACTCTGGAGAACAAGTTACTCTGGAGAACAAGTCACTCTGGAGAACAAGTTACTCTGGAGAACAAGTGTTAGGATTTAGCAGACAGAGACGGATCGTGGTGTGCCAAACTCTGGAAGTTTATTTAAGTTTCTCTCAAGTTCCACTGGTTTACTCTGTTTCTTTTCCTCAGACAGAATAAAGGCAGTACACAGTTTATATAGTCATTGTCACGTCACACATCGAAAGACATACGTGTCACAAAGAGACAGTCACATCATAGTCATAACATGGAGTCCTTGTAGAGTCCTTGTACAGTCCTGCACGTAGGCCATATTGCTATCTAATACTAATACCCTCCCCTTTGATCACATAATCACATGTGATCACTCAAATTGATCAATCAATAAAGTGGAAAAAGAAAAAAAAAAAAATCCAAAAAAAAACTTCAAAAAATTATTAAAAACAAAGAAAATGTATGCATTAAACTCATAATCATCAAATCAATATCAGTGGATTTTATCCTCTATCCTGGGAAAAAATAAACAAACAAAAATAAAGTAAATAAACAAACAAAAAACAAATCAAAAATAAAAACAAACAAAAATAAAAACAAACAAACTATTGGACACACAAGAACTCAGCAGATTCAGTCAAAACACAGACAAAAACGAGCTGAGTCTCAAATTAGAAGCTAATTTCACTTTTATTACTCTATACTTTTATTCTAATGATAATTGTTTACACTACACTTCACTTATTTCACTGTATTATTTTCACTTTTCAATCTTAGACTGTGTACTTTACTTTCACTATTCACTATAGTTTAAAACTATTCTAATCTATTTACAAATATGTTTGCATATTTGATTCTATTGAGCCATATTCTTAAACATACATTTTAATCTAATAAATCTCTCTGTAGTTTTACACTCTCATTATCAGTGGCTTATTGTCAGTGGGATTTGGTTCTATCTCTCTTCTACATTCTCAGGAATAAAACTGTGAACACAGTAAGGCAAATGGTCAACATTTACACTTCTATAGTGGTCAGTGATTTATTACTTTTTATTATCTAAAGATATTATTGTCAGGCATTTGGGATGAATGAACATCATTAATCAAATTAGTATTATCCTAATAGTAGCTAATTAGGTTTGGGGTTGGGGTCAGTTATTCTACAATGGTGTTTGTGCTGGAAACTTCTCAATATCTAAATATCTACTATTGTGTTTTTGTGCTATACACAAATACATCAAAATGCTTTTAAATGCTTTTGAATCTCTGTTGGTTCTAATCTATCTCATTAATCTAGGCATTAATCTAGACTACACTCATATGGACTTTTGCATTGTCAACATTCACTCATGTGTGAACACAAGTGAATTTGGCAAGTATCTAATAAAACTGTACATAAAACTGTAAGTAACTTTATCTACTTTTGAAGTAATGCTTGTGAAATGGTCCCTTTACCATTTGATATTAGCACTGGCTACAAATATTCTCTATTTTTGAAAGCATCTATGGTTGATGCATTTATCTAATTCTATGTCTACACTATTGTGACTCCAAAGTTTGGCTGCAGTTTGAGCAAAGGCATATTCCTAATTTGTGACTTCTGTCACTTTCAATGGCTGTAACATTATTCTGATTCTAATATTATAGCTGATCTATCAAAAGGATAACATTGTAGGGTACTATTTTAACTCTTACGTGGAAATGTTTATGAACAACAAAGGAAGGACAATTCTACTTTTTTACTACTATTTAACATCTACTAAAACGCTACAATACTTATACTTTATCATTTTCAAAGTTTTTGTCTGTCAGATGTCTGAATACTTAACATGTATATTGCATTTGTACCAAATTGAACTTTCGCTGGCTGCATATGTCTGAAGTCTTGAATATTTGGTCACAGTTGTGGTTCTGGTTGTAGCAATAGCATCTGCAATAGATGATTTTTCATTGGCTGGTTCTTGTTCTGCAAATGGCTGTGTCCAATAGATCATCAGATGTCCAGAAGCTAGGGACAAACAAAAACAAAAGAAAGAATCATGAGTATCTCTCTCATTTAGCACTCATCAATGTATGATTTTAGTAATATAAACATCACTCCCCCGGTTTCTCTCTCTCGGGGTCCTCAGGGTCCTCAGGTCAGGTCATATTTCGAGAGATGTCATCTTGGACATCAGTAGGGTCCAAGCCAGGGTTTGGTCTCTCCAGATGCACATCAGGATCTCCAGATACAGTCTTTTCACTTGAAGCGCACATCAGGTCATTTGAGATGCACTTCTGGTCAATGGTGCAGTGTCACAGTTCCTGTACACAGCTTGTAATGCAATAGTTACTCTCTATGGTTAAGTC